TTCTTTAATAAATTGTTCTTCAAATTTAACTTTCAGTATGGGAGCTTGAAAAAAGTCTTCATTATCGTCAGTTAAATTTGACGAATAATTGTCCCATTTAATATCTTTTTGAAAACAATCTTTCCAGTCATCTTCTTCAAATGTTTTTTTTTTTGTTTTTTAAAATAGTTTTAATTTTTTAATAATGTTTTTAACAAAATTCATTTTGTAAAAATTTTTTGTCAAGTATTTTTTTGTTATTATAAAAAATTTTCAGGTGATTAAATAAAAATTTCTTATCAAAATTAATTTTTCTAATTCAAGTAATTTAATTCTCATGACCAATATGTGACCAATAACAAATTATTGATTTTTAGTATCAAAATCTATCAAGTTTTTAACTTGCTTGAAATTATCAATGATAAAATTATGGTGAACCAATCATTTCTTAAGTTTTTTGATTTCTTCCTCCTGAGTTTTCACAAGTTTATGTAATTTTTTTATTTCCAAATCTTTTAATTTTGGTTTGTAAATTATACAATCAATATTTTTTTTCGTACATACATCACATTTTTTAGAATCTTGCGTAGAAAAAACACATGTTCTGTGAATTTCTCTGCAGAATATACAATGTGTTTTTTTTGTTCGTATTTTTTCTTCTTTTATTTTTTTTTACACATTTTTTTTAATTATTAAATATTTTTCCTCTATTTATATACATTTTATCATATTAAATATCTATTTTACAAAATAATATATGTTTAAATTTAATTGTTTTCACAATTTAAATTTAATTTTTTTATTTTATATTTATTTTAACTGTTTCTGTTTGTAAACAACATGTATAATACATTTTTAATATTAATTATCAGCTTTTTATTTTTGTATTTTTTACACGTAATTTTTATAAATTTTATCTATTTTTTATATATTACATATGTTTAACATTATTTTACACTTTTGTGTTGTCAGATTTTTGAAGTACTCAAGAGCTTAGCTAAATATTTCTTATTAAAAATATAGTAAATTTATTTTTTTCATTATTTGATATTAACAGGGAATATATGTATAGACTACATTTACACCTTATACATAGCCTTTCTGTACTAAGTATTACAGAAAGGCTACAAAATTACAAAATATATAAAAACCTTTTATATAGTGAACATCATATATGGCTAGATTTGATAAATCTTAATATTTATATCAATTAATGAGTATAACATTGAATAAAAAGCATTGCATAAACACACTTTCTTGAATCTACATACTATATTACATCATATTACGTTCAGCCTCATGTTTATATGCATGCGATTTTATATACTAAGGCTTTAACAATCACAATACCAATTTAGTTAAAGCTCATTTATACAGTACTAAAAATGAAAAAGTCATAAATTATAATGTATATTATATTCATATTAGTAACAGGTTTTTTGGTAATAAGCAAAGTGATCACATAAAGCAACGTGCATATATCGATATATATGTTTCAATAATTGATAGCCCAAAAATTTAGTCAAAGAAAATGCCTGATTACACTTATTTAAACCTTTGATAAATTTCCAAAAAGGGTTGAAAGTTAAATTTTTGAGTTACACCTTTCTGAGAAATCAACCTTTCCGTTTCAATTAACTTAAATACTACCCGACCTTTCTAGATTAAATATGTGCTTTTCTGCTTAAATAATTGGCATGTGACTCTAATAGGAGTGATTCTAATAATTATGATATGGTCTTTCTTAAAGTTATCATTTGCTTGACATTGTGTCTAAAGTTGTATCTGCCCAAAATTATTAACTAATGCATGTAAAAAAAATTTAATTTTAGAAGCTAATCTCAGTTCAATGTGACTTCAGGCACAACTCAAGCACCTGAAGTTGCAACTTTAAACAAGTGTTATCTTTAAGCAAGACAATGCCATATTAATTACTCAGATTACATGTCTGAATTCTACTAAAGTAAAATGAAAAAAGTAAAGTAGTATATAAAAAAAAAGATATTGATATGTAATTCGATTTTATCTTATCAAATTTTTTTATAGTGCGTTCTGGTTCTACTACTTTATCTGAACCTTTATAATAGCCATTAAAGATTATTAAAATTAAAAGAATAAAAAAAAAAAATAACTAAAAAATAAAAAAAAAGAAAACAAAAAACTTCCCAAACCAATAATATGATAAACAGCGCAAATAGTTTTCCATTTGTGTCCCTTGCCCAAGATGGCCAAGAATTTTGTGTTTCATGATTAAACAATATAAAAATAAAAAAGTTTTTTAATCGTAAGAAAAAAACTTTCATAAACTGCTAAAAATCATTACATAGCTTTAAAAAAATTTTTTGAATACTTTTCCAATCAAAAATTATATTTGACCATGTTGGTTTGCAAACGTATTAGTCTTATGGCCACACAAAAGCAAGACCTTTGTAGGAAAAAACAAAAAACCCCACTTATTAGTAATGTTGAATTAGCAAAACAATATGGTATTGGGAAATCAACTGTAACCGATATTTTAAATAAAAAGGATCATTGGCTTACTATTTTGGATGAAGAACAGGAGAATAAGAAATTTCGAGGTCCAAAATGGCCAAAGTTAGAAAATGCACTTAGTCTTTGGATTAATAATGCATTGATTATGAATCAAGATATTGACAGTGCAATTCTCAAATTAAAGGCAAATTCTTTTGCTGAAAAATTAAATATTAACAATTTTAACCAATCGGAAGGTTGGTTAAGTAGGTTTAAAAAACGAAATGGGCTTCGCCAATTTAAAAAACAAGATGAAAAAGCAAGCACACCTTCTGCTGAGTCAATTGCTAATGATCATATTACTTTACAGTAAATGCTCTCTACCTATGATCTTGAGGATATTTGGAATAGCGACGAAACAGGTCTTTTTTGGAAGATGGAACCTTCAAGAACCTTGGCACATTCTAAAATCTCTGGCCACAAAAAAGAAAAAGCTCATATAACTATTTTGTGTGCTGTAAATGCTACAGGAACCGAAAAAATAAAGCTTACCTTTATTCACCAATTTAAAAAACCTCGTCCTATGTGAAATCTCAACTATGATAATCTTCCCATATACTATTTCTTTAATAAGAAAGCATGGATACAAGTTGATATTTTTAATAAAATTCTTCTTAAACTAAATAATAAAATGAAACAAAGAAATCAAAATATTATTTTTTTAGTTGATAATACTCCCGTACATATCATTCTTGATGAAACTTAAGAAGAATTAAGTAATGTGCGTATTGAGTTTCTACCTAAAAATACTATACCGATTTTCCAGCCCTGTGATCTTGGAATTATTCATTCATTTAAATACTATTACAAGCACCTTTTTGTACAAAATCGGATCGAAGCTTATAATAATTTTCAAAATGATCATGTGAAAGAGCTAGAAGAATATAATATTTACAATGCATTGCTTAATACAGCAGAAGCATGGTCAATAGTATCATCTAAAACAATTGTGAATTGCTAGAAAAAAACTGGTATTCTTCCGCCTGAGATTAATAAAAATGAACAAGATACAATCATTATTGATCAGGAGGAGTATAACTTGGAAGATGAACTTGGATTATTAATTACTCACCTGTCAATTGACGACTCTCTTAGTACTAATGAATACGTTCATATTGAAGATAATGAAATTGAAGGTGGAATTACAAATGAGGAAATTTTGAAGGCAGTAACTGATGAGAATGAAGAAGAAAATGAATCTGTTAATAGTGAAGTTATTGAATTAGAAAAAGTTAGCAGCAACAAAGCAAAAAAAGCTGTGAACACGATTTTAAGGTTTTTGCTTGAGCAGGAAGCAGAAGTTGGTAAAGTCAATGATGAAGTAAGGATTTTAAGAAGTTTGCATAAAAGAGTTAGACTAAGTTTTATTAAGAATCTTAAGCAGGTAGAACTTGGCCGCTACTTTATGAACTAAAATTTTAAAATAATTTTCTTATAAATTGTAAGCATTTGATTTTGTATATGACGTTAAAATTTTAAGGAATTTATTATTATACTTATAATAAAATATTAAATCGTTTGGTATTTAGTAAGTAAAAGCAATCATTAAAACTATAAAATATGTTGGGATTCCTTAAATAATACATATAATCACGTGAATAAATTTTATTGGTTAGTTATTTATAACGAACCTTTTATACATATTCGGTATAAAAAAAAAAGTAATATACCAAATTTATCTATACCGAACAAAAAATTCCTAGAATGGCCTGTTCAGTATAACAAGAGGCGACTGTAATCTAAAAACAATCAATACAAAATCGCTATCACTATTGTGCTATTGGCTATATTAAAAAAAAACAATTACTACAAATGTCACTATTGGCTAGATCAGCTAGATCAAAAAAAAAATTTAATACCAGATCGAAACTTTAAAAAAAAATCAATACTATTGACTAGATCATGTGTAATCTAAACAATACAATATAAAAAAAAATATATATTATGTCATGTTTTAATATTAACTTTCTAAATCTACTCTAGCTAATTTGCTACCAAAATTTTTTCAAAGTAAAAATTTATATTATTAGATTAGAATCTGTAATTTGCTATTAAATTAAGACTTGAAAATATTTCTTACACCAAAATTTTGCAAGAAAATTTTTTTATTCATATGCAGAAGACCATTTTATCAAATAAATTTTGATTTATAAGCAATTTTTGACAAAGCGAACGTTTGTTTTGAATTTTTCTGCTCATATTACATTATACTTGATCTTTAGATTTAATTGGCTAGTTAGGTAATTAAAAATTTTTTGGATAGTAATTTACCCCTGTTTTTTAAATCCATTTATAAAATCTCACTTATACTATTGCTATTCAAATTTTACACTAAAGCTAATGCATCTCAAATTTCTGTATTTTTTTGTGACTTATCTATTTTACACTATACAAATTTCATTTTATTCTGATTTCATTTTAATTGTCACAATTATTGCTTTAAATTATTCAAGTTTTGTTGCACAGCTTGTATATAACAAGGATCTGTTACTAATTTGATATCTTATATTGTAAATCTAAAATAAATTTGATTTAATTAATATTTATAGCATTTTGCGTGATACTACCCAGAAAGTATTAAATAACTATATATAGTAGTAGCAGATATTATAGTTTTGGTATTGTCATGACCGAAATGTCTATAGAAAGATTACCTTATGTAAAAGCATTTATTTATTTTTATTGTTTTCCTATTTGCATACTATAATTAATTGATTAAGCATCTATAGTATAAATACTTTTTCTGAATTTTCTAAATTTTAACTAATTACAAATATTCTGAGATTTAAATTTTGTTTTAGAGAAAAAAAATAAAATAAAAAAAAGAAGCCAATATTATTTAGTTATAATTTCTTGTTTCTATACTCAATAACTGTTCTTTTTCAAGAATCTGCTCTCAAAGTCTTTTACATTTTTTATATATTGAAGTCTTTCAAATATAAAAGGCTTGAAGATTATATTGTTAAGTAAACGAATGTGAGATACTGCCACAAATAATAGGCCTGCGACAAACTCATTTTGTCCAAGATCAATTATAGCCTTTGGCAAGATCAAACCCTAGAACTTGTATACTGTAATAGCCCATGCAAGAAAAAGAAAATCTGTGTATATGAATATGTTCCAGACTTACCATTCCATGTGCATTGTATAGAGCCAATTGGAACAACTCTAATACCTTCAGGAGTGGTAATGGTTGATCTATTGTATTTTTTAAATAATACTAGAATGGCAGAGGAAGAGAAGTGGGTCCATTATTGTTAAAAATAATATCTTCAATAGTTCTTATTGCTCTATTAACAAGACTAGCGGCAGTCTAAAGATTTGTGCTAAGCATGACACATGTACCCTTTGCCAGTAATATCTCAGATTCAAGGCCTTTTGCTTCATTTAAGTCAGCTTTTTGAGCCTCACTTCCTCTACTATAAATAGCTCTAATTCTAGCAACAGGATGATTTAGCATATAAAGCTTGTTTTTATTAAATTTATCAATATCTTCTTATTTTGGTAAAAAGCAAGTGGCATTTAAGAAAGCTTCCTATTCTGATAGAGATAAATTCTCCTGTAGTCATGTTATTAGCTTATTCCAGTCTGATCAAATTGATTCACCATTTTGCAAACATAATAGAATATCTTTAAACCAACATTGTGCTACTGATTCTCTAGCTTGATATGCACAACTTCAAGTTTATAAATTTCTCAAAATTGGCTATAAATTAACCATTCATCTTCAGATATTAGATTTGATGGATGAAAATTTTTAGTATACATTGGAAGATCACATACTGGAGGTAGCTAACCAAAGTCACCTACAAAAATGATAGAATGACTACCGAAAGGGTTGTTACAATATTCTGAAAAGGCTTGACAAAGTCATAAATCGATTAAAGCTAAAATGCGATATCTGACTATACTCATTTCGTCTATACTGATATATTTCACATTTTTAAGTTTACTTTGAAGCTGTTTTAGCTGTTTACCTGTTAATTCAACATCTTTTGTAGCAATTGAAATAGAAAGAACTGAGTGAATAGTAGCACTGTTGATGTTAAAGACTGCTACACCAGTTGTTGCAAGTATTAATAACAAGGGTGAGTCATTCTCATATAGATTTTTTTCTCTATTTTTTGAAGCCTGGCTCTAATTGCCTTTATGAGATAAGACTTTTCAGTTCCTGTAATGCCCATTACTATAATTAATAGTGGATCTATTTGTTGACCTGAGAGTGTTATATAATAATGAGATTCTATCTATTTAAATACTAATTTTTGTTTCTTATTTAGTGTTTTACGATTAATTATTATATCTGTTTCAATTTCTGAAACTGCAGCATTATCACAAAAGTGTTGAATAAAGTTATCAGCACTTTCAAAGTTTGGATACCATTGCCTGCACACACCAACCCAATCATAATTAATGTCAATATCATAGAAACCAAGATCAAAGAAAACATTGATGTGTAAATTTGAACCTATTTCTAACAAAAACATCCAATTAAATCAAATTTCCTCTTCCTCATCTTTTTCAAGATCATCTATACTATTATTATTACTATTATCGTCTTCAGGATTTTCTTTTGCAAGGTCGATTATATTATC